CCTAATTGTTCCGTCCAGATCCTTTCCTCTACACAACTGTCAAAAGGATATTCCTACAGTAATAGGGATGACCACATCACTTCTTTGTACAGTAAACCACAGTGGCTTCCTATTGGATCAAGTGCATTGTTATCTATAAGGTTCTTTGGCTTTGAAAGCCTAGCTCCAGCCTACCTTGCCAGGCTAATTATATGGCATTCCCTGCCGTGCACTGTGGTCCAGTAAAACTGGCCCTCTTGTCATTGCTCACATAGGACATTCCATTTTCTGTCTCTGCACAAGCCATTTCCTAGAAGGCACTCAGTTCACCTCGTGGAAGCCTCAATACCTAGCACTGTCTGGACCAAGGTAGATGCTTAAGAAATGCCTGCTGAGGCTGACACAGGCTCTTTCACTAGCCCTACTGTTCCTGTGTCAAAGCATACAATTCATAGTCAGTCCTTCTCTGATAAGCAACAAGCCATTTTTTTCTTGGGAGTCTGGTATTCATTTATTCTGGTCACAATTCAGCTTAAAAAAATATCTCCCTTACTATATTCCTTTACCAGTTTTTTCTTCACCTTTTAGTCTTATGTATTGATTCCAAAGTTCAAATAACTAAGATCATTTAGAACAGAAAGGGTATAAAGAGCAGGACAAATGGTAAGGGCCAGTGGTTCTTAATGCAGTTGTAGAGGATGATAAAGATTTTACCAGACCAACTATATCTGGCGATTCTCTGGCTCAAGCAACCAAAAGTTAAGTGTGAGCACTTGTGCTCTCCTATGCTGAAATGGGTGGGGTGACTTGGAAAGGCCTATGACTATTGGGAATGAGTAGAGCTGATGATCAGAATGAAAAGGAGGGCTCTGGGTTCACTTCTTCTGGGGTGGGAATGAAGGCTCATCAACCACCTAGGAGAGGAGGCAGGGTAGGGAGAACGGCTCCTTACATGTTCTGCTACTATAGTGCCCTGTGGGATATTTTATTTCAGAATTAACAACAAAAAATATTGCAAACTTTATAATGAGTATTAAATATTTGACATAATTTAAGTACATGGTAATATGTTAACTACTGATGAGCAATGCCTATAAAAAGGTATCTAGTCACTGTGCTGACTCCTACCAATTAAATGTTTATTGTACTACCCTCCCCTCCTAAAACTCAGCAACCACTTGGGCCAGTAACAAGTAGGAACCAAATTTACACTTATCACACTTTCCTCAAGATCCCATCCAAGGGACAAAATGTTAATGATTACGAACGTTGCCAGAATATAACCCTCAAACCTCCCAAAAAATAACTGTCCCAAAAGTCTCTGAACTTCAAATTACTAAAGCACATCTTTATTTTGCAATTGAACAATTAAGTTTCACAACTATATTTATTTTCAAGTTTTACCTAAACAACTTTTTCAACAGAAATGAAATATAGCCACAAAATATTTAACAGCATCTCACATGATATAATGAAGTTTTTCTTAAGACTAAAACAATATTGGTTAATGAAAATTAGCATTTTCATCCTGGGAACTGCTGGTATTTTGTAGATTATTTTGTTGTATTGATGGCAAGAGCTTTCATCTTTGCTGAGATGAAGACAAAATACACAAGCCCCTTTTAAAGCATACAGTAAATAGCTGCAGTGAAAAAAAGCACAATGACAATTTCGTATTGTCCAGTGCTGACCAAATTCAAGTTTATACATTTTTTTTTTTCAAATGAACCCTTCGCTCTTTTGCCGTAGGGAGTTTATTTGATCAGGGTGAGGGGGAGGGGAAAGGGGAGTTTTTTGTAATAATAGAAAGTCATTTAAAAAAACTTAATATAAAAATCCACAGGACTGATTTCAGCTTTCAAATGATCAGTTTACAAACTTGGGATAGTCATTAGGCAATGTCCAGTTCAGTGGAATCAGATAAATAAAAGGGGCAGGAGAAACGTGAAACTCTTTATTGTAATCAGGAAATAATTTCTGCTAGGATTATGATATGGATGAGATTCTTTTTTTTTTTTTTCATTACACAGAGGCTAGCACCAGGAAAACAATAACAAGAAGAACAAAAAAAAAAAAACAACCAAAATTCTAAACATTCTCTACACAAAAATAATCTTTTCAAAAATTACTATTTAAAATGAGATCACTGTTAAATATACAGTGAAATATCTGTCCCAAAATTAAGCCTACACTGTAGAAAATAAAGACTAGCTTTTCTTATTTGATAAGATAACATGGATGGTAACTGCAACGTCCTGATGCTGTAGGGCTGGGCAGTTTGTTTGTAGCAGATGTGTTCTCACATACAGCAGAAAATGAAACAGCTTAATGTAAACTGTTTTAACCCCTTACGCCCCATTTTTTGGCATGTGCCTCAAAGAGTAAAAAGGGTTAGGACTTTTTTCTCTTAATTGTACTGTTGTACATTATCTACTTATCTTTAGTTATCAAAACCTAAAATAAGTTACAAGTACAAAAAATACATATTTCCAGGTATTTATGTAATGTCAAAATAATGCAAAGCAGAAATGTTCATAGTAAACAAAGCCTGTCTGCAGCTGAGAGAACCCAGAGTTCAGCAAGGGGAATCCTTTTGCAGTTTTTTGTATTAAATAAATTGCTGAAAGGTGGACAACTAAGATTATACCAATTGACTTCTGAAGATATTCAGTAAATTTCAAGTTGATATTTTCAAGCATTTGTAGTTGAGTATAATTTTTTTTAATGCTACATGCTGATCAATTAAATTCTTTTTTCAGAATTCTACCTCTCTCCCTTTCATTCTCCCCCTTGGCCCCCTGCCAAAAAAAAAAGTCAGTAGTTAAGCATGATATAAAGTGCTACTATTGAATTTACAGGAAACAGTATGTTCAAATTTGGTTTATAAACAGAAAACTATGTGGCACCACTAATTCCAAACCCATCTATGGGAAGAAAATTACTGCTGAAGTATTAGAAATGTATGAATGCCAGGAAACCTAAGAAAACATCTGTAAATCTTCTAGCCCAGTATTACCTTGACTAAGCAAATAACTTATACATAACATTTCCAGGAGTGCAGAGATTTAAGCAATCTGAATTTTCCACTTAAAGAACATGGTTGTTTGCAACTCATCCTCACTCTTTTAAACACAGTTTGGCAAGTCTGCATCTTTCACTTTCTAAGGTCCATATGTCGACTTTGGGGATGAGGGCTCCAATTAAAACATACTTCTCTGCAATTAAACTAATGTAATCAGAATCCTTTTATTCGTAAGTGCCTCTTGGTGAAAGATTTCATTTAGTAATGAAACATTTTATTTATGCCAAACACAATGGATAATAATTCACTGTGCTTTTCAAATCTTCTAGGACTGGGAAGCCTGATACTAGCTACTTAATTTTTTTAAGGAACTGTAACCAAGACAAAGGAAAAATAAGCCCCACAAATATTTAGAGCATTTCCCCCTCACGGAAACCTAATTGTTCAAAGTAAACCCAGTTATTAAAACAACTGGAAAGTAACTGAGAGAAGTTACTGAGACAAGAATGCTTCACAGAGAAAGGATAAAAATTCAGCCTCTAAGCTATAAAAATGACAAGAAATGAGCTTATTGGGTTGCTATTTTCTAGAGGAACTGCTACACAAAATGATCATTCAAAAAAGTTGGTTTCATATTTTAGTTTCTTTGCAGATGAGCTAGTAAATCATTTAGGATTACAAGCAACCAATTGTATGTCGTGGTAATTTGGACAAAATAGTCTTGACTGTACATGACTCCTAGAATTAAAAAACCTAACCACTTTTATTGCTTCAGTGTACTCCACTTATACTCAAATTCAGTGTATTTGAATGATATAATTCAGGCCACAGTTGTTTGGCTTAAACCAAAGTTATAACCCTCAAAATGTTTGCCTGAATTTTTGGATGCCTTAGTGACAGTCCCTTGAGATATCACCTCATGTTAAATACATAAAATACACCAGTAAATATTTGACAATATCTTTTTTTTCTCATTTCCTCCACATATATATCCCCATCTATATTTCAGAGTTCAAGAATACAAATCTTCTACATTTAAAAACAATATTCTAAAATTTTTACAAATGATATATGGCCCTTACACTTTTCAATCCTAAAGCCAAAAGGAAAACAAAATGAAAAAAAGGAAATTTGTACATCATACGCTGTCACAAACTTCAATGACATTGCTCCTATTTACAATACAATGAAAACCACTTACGTGTTAAACTGCATTTTGTATGAGGGAAGTGTAACAAACTTTACTTTTTTTTCTTTTCCTTTTTACCCTCTGCCACCCCCCCTTTTTTTAAAAAGAAACGGTATGAAAATAACTATTTGTAAAATCGAAGTCATAATTCTAACTACTTATATGTCTGAAAGGTACATTCATGTTCTTTTATAACATGAATGACATACAAAAATTTTCTTTTTTAAAGAAGTGATAATTTATACCTAAAGTAAAAGTTTTTTGTTTTTGTTTTTGTTTTTGTTTTTAGCAGTTTTGACCGTTTTTTGTCCATAGAAAAATATATTTACACTTTTTAGGCCATTTATACCACAACAGATAGAAAGTTAGGTTTAACTAAAGCTTTTATGGTATGATAAGGCTTTCAAATCTTTTAAATATTTGCCTTGGGAATTTTTAAATATTTTTAAGAGCTTAAATAAGTGTCAGAACTTTCTTCTAAAACCATGGCCTTAAATCATAGCAACTTTTACATATACATATATATATATATACACACACACACACACACACACACACACACACATATATATGTATTTTGTATTTCTTAAGCACTACACAAAAGTATGGGGTTGATAGGAGATAATTTTTCAGGTCATCTCATCATAATGAATTATTTAAAGAATAACTTCTCTGACCACTACACTGGCAAGGATTTTAATCTGCTACAAAAATAAAGTCCAGGAAAAAAAAACCTAAAAAACTTTATCAAAGCAGTTTTACCAAGATGAAATAATATCTAATTTATTGCTGAAGCAACACTTGCATTTGATGAGAGTGAATTATTAAGAATATCTGTAGTGTTGTTAAAAAAAATCTTCAATGCTTCTATAATAAAGGAAAATTTGGGAGATCGTATTGCAGATGATGAAAAGCAACTAGCAAAACAATCTGCTTTGGTCTGGAAATTTAAAGATTGAAATAAAACAAGAATTCTAATACATAATTTTAGATATTTTTCTAGAGCACTGAGAGGTTAAGTGACTGGTCAGTGGTCACACACACACACACACACACACACACACACACACACACACATACACACAGTACGTATCACAAGTAGACTTCAACTCAAGTCTTACTGATTCCAAGGCTGCTGCTGCCCTTTTATTCATTAGACCATGAAGCTATGGTATTTGAGCTGTTATCAATACAGTCCTAAGTGTATTTTAGAAAGCAAGTAATGCATAGTTATAAAACCACAACAGGTTAACAAACTGTCCAACAATCTATGCTATCATATTGATGCATTGGAATTTAGTGGTAATCAGTTTCTATTTAATTTGGTGGAAACAACATAAAAAAAGCTATAGTACAAAACCCCTACAAAATTCTGGCTATGGAGCCGAAGCAGATCCATTGAAATTAAAAATCAAAGTCTGTCATTTTGATGAATGGGGTAATTTAATGTAGACTAGTGAGATAGCAGATGGGAATGGACATCTACTATACTTTGGCATCAAATTAAGAAGAGTATACTTTTAAACACTGGTCATTTGACCAGATTTCTGTTCCAGCAAATAACTGTTGTGTTGTACTTGGCTAATAGTGCTTTTATTATTATAGGCTAAAACCAGGTTAACATAAACTATATAAAAAAAAATCACCCACAACAATAAAACTGCCTGTAAACATACCCCACTCATTGTGGTATAAATGGTTTTTGTGAACACAAAACTGCTTTGGCAAAGGTACATAAGAATAGATATGTAAAGTACAGATGCTATGTAGTACACTCTTATAATACACTCTTGCTTCCTTTTAAATTCCAGTACATTTTCATGATATGAACATAAATTCTTTTATTGTAACGGACATGTTCTAAATCTTTATGGTAGACTTTAAGTGCTTTATTAAATTAGCCCTCTGTAATAACAAAACTACAGCCCAAACTTTTCCTATAATGCCAACCAGTTTTCACAAAGTATATTGGACTAAAGACTTTACAAAGACTAAAATAATCCCAGGAGGGAGGTAAGATAAGCAAATTCATGGATCAGGACACTACTCACACCTGCCTTTTGAAGCATAATTTTTTGTTTCCTTAAGTGAAATCCCATGACTTCATTATAATTGTCATCCAGTGAAAACAGCAACTGAGGATAGAAATGAAAATCTCTCCCAGGGAAAAATGAAAAAATGTAAATCATGAACACTTGTGGAATTTAAGCATATTATATAATATGTAATATATATTAAGCAGGAACAAATGATTAGTCATAGGATTGTAGTGTTAAGAGATTAAATGCCTAAGCATAAAAAGATGGAATAGGGAGCAAAGAAGGCATGTAGTGCAAGCCTCCTGTTTTAATGAGGAAAAAAACTGAGGCCCAGGGAGTTAAAGTGATATACCCACAGTCATAAAGCAGGAAGCATCAGAGACAAGATCCGAAGTTAGGTTCTTGGACTTCAAAGTCAGTACTTTTTCCATTGGATCAAGATGTCTCTCTAGTCATCAGAAGGCAGTGTGGTATAGCATACTAGACTAGAAATTTGAAGACAAGGGTTCAGGACCTTGGTTTTCCTAATAATTGTGCTCAATTCTCTCCCAATCTTCCCTTGTGGATTATTTTGCCTTTCAGGGCATCAGGTTGCCTGTTTGTAAAATGATGGGGCTGTATTAGATGACTTCCAGGTCTAAGCATAGGGCTTTAATTCAAACACACTGGATTTGCTCATGTATTATAAAAATATGACCTTAAAATTAATTGCTCATTCTCCCCATCACTGATGCTAGCTACTGTGAAATATATATCTATATATCTATATCTATATATAAATACACATATACACAGCATACATGCAAAATAGCTTTTCTCTATCAAAGCTTGACAAATCCAAGTAAACAACTTTTTTAAGGAAATGGCTTAATAAAAACATTGATAAAATTAAAGTCAGTTAAAAAATCAATTATTTTCTTTGAATTTCCCTAATCAAGAGGATCAACATTCTTTTTAACTGGCTATGTTGGTAGGTCACTGGAAAGCAATTTAAATCTGTTGACCATGATCCACCTTGAATGTGTATTTGTGTGTGTGTGTGTGTGCGCGCACATGAGTGTGTACATTCACACACATATTCTAAGAGATACTGCTTTTCGTCTTACTGTGAACATATATTTTATACCCAAATAATCTCTAATGTGTTATGGGGAAAGAAAACCTACAAAAGAGAGACCACAGGTTTTTCTCTCTTATTATAAATGCTTTTAATATCCTGATTTCCATTCATCAAATTAAGGATGGCAATGCAATATTTTCTTCTTGGGAATGGTGGTGGTTTAGGAAAGGAGAGAAGAGTTGGCATTTCCTAACAAAATATTACTTAGGAAAGATGGTTATCAGAACAATAATCCTGAAATTAGGGACCATTACTAAATAGAAATAATTTTTGACCTGAAAGTAAATTTTTGAAAAATTCCACAAGTTTCAGTTAGATAAAATTATAGAAATGTTCAGCAAAGAGGAAAGAATACGTATATTCATGAAAATGGCTTCAGGATCCTCTTTGTTATTCTTCTGTTAAAGGACAATAAACTTATTAGCTCTGGGAGGATAATAGGCTTCCACCACAGATGTAAAAATAAACTTGAGGGTATTCCCTGATAAGAAATGCAAGAGTGAGACATTTAAATATATTTATGACAATTCAAACACGTTACCATTTACTTATAGGCACTAATGAAGGTATAAGAACTCAAATAAAACCAATGATTACAGTTCACAACAATAGCTCAAAAAGAACTCTCACTGATGAGAGATACTAATCATAATGTTTGCACATGTTCATATTCATACAATTTCCTCCTCTGTGGTCTGGTTTTCACACTTTTTTTTTTTAATACAGTGACAAACCAAATGGCTGAATTTTCAGTTTAACGGAAAAAAACACATTAGTTAAACTAGTTATTTGGTATTGTGTAGACAAGATTATCTTACTGTTTGACTGAATTCTTTACTTTTCATCAAGTTCTATTGGTATTATATAGGCATCTACACTGCATTTATCTGTGATTGGTAGAGGACAGGATTTTTGAATAGGACCAACTATATTTCTTCATTGTTCATTTTGGGAAGAATATGTTATTTGGGAACAAGTAACAGAATTTATCTTCAGTTATCAGTTTACATGTAATTTTATTGTTTAGTATAAAATCCTGTAAAACCTCACAGGTCCTGATTATTTGAGACTTCCATTAACTTATAATTATTCATTTAGATTATACTGAAGTCTCTCACAGTGTGCAACATTTTTAACATCCAAAAATGGCATTCTAAAATGCCCATCTGAACCTATGCTCTACATAATTAAGACAATACACAAATCTTCAGAAAACCATTTGTAAATAGTATCTTTTCTCAGCCATAATATATGTATATACATATACATATATATACATATATATAAAATTATCTTTTCATCTCACATTCAAAATATATGCGTAAATCCCTATGTATATCAAACTGGACGATTTAAAAAATTCTTTCTTCCCACAGGTTACAAAAAAGGAAATAAACATATACACAACCAAAATGAACTTTGTTATTATATCAGCTACAGAGATAAAACTCTTCCTCCTGATATATATATAATTTAAATAAGTAGCACATGCATATAGGGGCAATTTAATTGTACACCACAGTGACAAGAAAAACCACAGTCATAGTAATTAAGAAAAAAAATCTAGAAACAAACCAACAGTGCTTCATTGCTTATTTAAAAGACACCAAACCAAACAGAGCAATGTGGACATAAGGTGACATCAGTCAAAATGAGTTTAGAAAAGTAAATTTTTGCAGGGGATGGGAAGAAAAAAAATCGTTAAGTCATTGTTACAGATTTATGTCTGTGGTATCAGTGTATTCTTCATATTGCCACCAAAAGAAAGAGCAAAGATAAAATTGAACATCCAATATGAAGAACCTAGTAGCTCTCACTGAAATGAAAACCCTCTCCCCCAAAAGGAATGTGCCACATTTTAAAATAATTTCACAGCAGCAGACTGCTTATTTACTCAGTAAGCAAAATAGCTTTGTTTTTCACAGGAACAAGCAACCACTGAACAAAAAGGAATGGCATTTTCCCGACCCCTTGTATCACTATATACTTCCAATCCTAGATACCATTAGTAAATGTGAACCCATTCAAAATGCATAAAAAGGTGAGAATGTACACTATACACACCTTCCCCACAGGGTTGTATGAGTGCCTTTTCATTAGCCATTTGGGAAGTCTCAAGGCACTTAAGGGGTTAAGACATAATGCATGCATTCATTTACATTATGTATGGGAAGTTACATGACTTGAAACAAACCAATTTTATGGACTAAGACTGCCATGTTATCCATTGCAAGCATTCTGCAGGTTCATATTTATACTTTTTATAAGATGCTGGCAAATAAGCATCTTTCTAACAAAAGAAAATTCCATTTTTCTTCTAATAATCAGCAGATCTATTTCGAGGGAGTGTTGGGTAAAATGCCACATTAATAGGCAGTGTATTGGCTAATATTCAGAATATTGCTAATGACTTAAAAAAAAAAAAAGACCCAGTACACTGTAAATATATGAAACACCGGAGAAGACTGTGGCTAATATCTGATGTTTACTTATTTTTTGTTTCCAAGATGCAGGTGTGTAACATAGATGGTAAGAATTCCGAGCCTTGTTTTTATCAATCCAACCAGAAGAGGACTGGATGAGCATTACCATGACATTTCATAAATTATTCTGAACCCATTTAAGCTCATTTATCTTTTTTTTTGTTCGGAGCAAAGAATGAAATAAAGTCTTCAAACATAAGAGTTATAGAGTTTGAGAGACTGACTTTTGTTTCAATGTAAAGTGCAACAGTGCTGAATTTTCTGTCTTTTGTCAATTCTTCATTGTTCTCTGATGCCATTGTCTGTAAGTAGTATTATGGTGGCACAGTGAATACAGCCAGTTCTGTTATAACGGACAAAAATGTCTCAACAAAGATCCCAGCCCTTTTGCTCTCTTATTTATGCAACTATGTCTTAAAAGGTTTAATAAGTCCTTCTTCATAAACTTTCAAAATAGCTTCACAAACAAATCTGTATTGACTCTGAAAAAGAAGATGGAATCAGTTAGAGAAAAAGATAGTATCAATAATATAGGTCACGCTTTCTTATTAGAACATTAACTTAATTCCATACGATCCTTTGGTTAATACAAAATATTAAAACAAAATCAAATACCACAGACTAATCCAAAAAACATGATGATTAAATTCACTGATTTGAAAAAAAAATGAGAATAAAAATTCTATGATTATCTTTAAAAATTCAAAACCTTCTAAGTATTAAGTAACTTTTACTGATCTATTATTAAATCGATGTAGAGATTATATGTATTTCAAATATCTTAAACTTTTCTAAGCCTCAATTTCCATACCTTTAAAATGAAATGAAGAAAATTTAAAACTCAAAATCTTATGGGAGTGTTGAAAACTAAAAATAAACAAATTAATTATTAAAAAAAAACAAAAGAAACTAAGAGGAAATGAAGTTTGATACAAAAGGTTTTTTTTTTCATCCCTGAGTTTTTAGCTTGCCAATGTATTCTCCATTGTGAATCTGACTCTTGCTCTCACCCAGTTCTATACAAGGGCAGTGTTTAATTGTTCATCATGTTATATGTACTTTGAGAGCATTACTGAATTTATGGCCTCAACATAAATGAGTTATATCTGTATTTGAAAGGTCATTAACAATGAAATTTAAAATCTTGGTCTTGCACATTCAGAGTAAGACTTTCTTGACTAGCTTACTATTAAAATATACAACTCTGATTACATTTTTCTTTCTATGAAATACTATTTAAAATACCAAGTTAATGCTTTTTAATGAGATTTTCAAAAGTATTGTTGATGCATTTTGTTTTTTCATTACTAAAATTTCTGGAAGAAAAAGAAGAAAAAACCATCTTCCCCTCTGGATGGAACCTTTCTTTGTTATAAACAGAAATTAAAACAAACAAACAAAACCTGATTAAGTGACCACATCTGACAACAGAGACAATGTTCTATTCCAGTAGGTCAATGCACTGGTTTTTGGCCAAGTCACTGACCGTGACATAAGTTTATTATCCATTCTCCAGGACCCTCATTAGTTTTTCCTTTACTGAGAGTCTTATTTCCTTTTAGTGATCTTTTCAATTACATTGTTTCAGTCACTGTGTATATTGCTTTTTGTTTCTGCTTTATTTGACCCTGTAACAGTTCATACAAATCTTTATATGTTTGTCTGAATTCCTCATGTATGTGGTGTGCAAATTACTTCGGACAAATTAAATTTGTTGATGTAAAATAAAATAAAATGAAATTAGACCAAATTCCCTTCAAGCTCTAAGATTCTATGATTCTTTGTTTGGATTTGATTTAATGCAATTTGATCATAGTCACCCAATAGCCTAACTTCCAGGTTATTTTATAATAATGGAAATTTCATTATAACAGACTTAAGAATTTCAATAGAGCTATTACACTGGAGGCTCTCTTAAGATACTTCATTCAGTGATTGTATGATTCTTATTGTTCCCCATGATGTATATGATACTGGGCAGAGACAGTCTGGGTATTAAATAATTGATATGCTCGTTTGTAAAACATCAGCGTGCATAGTAGACAGAAGATTGGCCTTAATGTCAAGAAGGCCCCAGTTCAAGTTCCACCTGTGGTGTACAGAAGATGTGTGATCACGGGGAAACCACAACTTCTCAGGGCCTGACACCTCTCTATAACCATAAACTGCAGTTAGGTTGCTAATGTGTTTCAAGAGAGAATTTTCTGACTGGGATGAAATCACAGGTCTGGTTACCACCTCCATGGCCACTCCAAACCACCCCCCCACCCCCCCACAAAAGCACTTACAAAATACCTGAACACAAAAATTTGCTGGGGATGTAAAGATAAAATAAGTGTAGTGTATAATAAATTACTATTTGCATTCAGCATAAAAAGCACTATACTTACAGGTGTTTGAATCATCATGGCTCTTTGATCTCTCATTGTCCTTACAATATCTAGTGGATAAACTGGTTGATTGCACTCAATGAGACACATAGCTGTTTCCATAGTAATAAGAACCCCTGTTCGTCCAATCCCAGCACTAGAAAAAAGAAATAAATGGGGTAGGGAACTTGGTTGAAAAATTTCTTGATGAATTCTTATAAATGAGATGCATTACAAAAAATTTAATTGAAACTTTAATGATCATATTCTATTTGTAAGCATGGGCTGTCTGCAATGGAATTTTAGTTACAGAAATAGGATTTTAAGAAGAAAATAAGAACAATAATGGTCTAAGAACTTGAACAAAATTCTCCTGTTTATTGTTCCCCAAGTTACCATTTTTTCCACAATTAGAAATAAGAATATTGGTTAAAAATTTACATTTATTTTTTAGCAACTTGATTAAAAGTACAAGTGCTTGTAAGCAAATTGATTTTTTAAAAAAAGCTGTAAAAATTGTAAAGTAAGAAACTACTACTAATATCTTCCCTTTCAAACTTCCCTGATGTTAACTACTTTGTTTATTCTCTTTATACTTATTCTCCATATGCTAATTTATGTCCTCATTGTCTCCCCAGTTAGAATACAACTGCCTTTGGAGTAGGATTTACTGTATTTGGATTTCCAGTGCTCAGCACAGAGTAGAAATTCAATACTTTTTTTTTTTTTTTTTTAGTTTTTAGGCAATTGGGGTTAAGTGTCTTGCCCAGGGTCACACAGCTATTGTGTCAAGTGTTGGTCTGAGGCCAGATTTGAACTGACTTCAGGGCCGGTGCTCTATCCACTGCACCACCTAGCTGCCCCTATGTTGTTTTTTTGTTTGTCTGTTTTGTTTGTTTTTTTTTTTTTAATTCAATACTTGTTGAACAATATGTGTTAGGACTATGAGGTAACCCCTGCTGTCTACTAAGGCCAAGTTCAGCATTCTTCCCACTACACTAAGGTTTGATTTATTTTTTGAGGAGACCTAGGTATGTCTGTAGGCAAATGAGAAGGTGACAGCAAAGACCTAGAGACGGACCATGCATTCCATTCAATAAACATTTACTGAGTGTCTGCTATGTGTAAAATACTTTGCTAGGCTCTGAAAATACAAATCTATTCCAAAGGAGACAGGAGGGATGAGAGACAAAGAATGATTATCAGAGTCTTGGAGGAAGACATGATAAAGGAGAAGGGAGTAAGGACAAAGAGAGAGAACAGCTTTAAGAAAGAGTACCTGGGACATCTCTATTTCATCTGAGACAGAGGAGAAAATGAGTGATGATACTTAGAAGTTCTGAGAAACGGTGGTGAGAAAGAGAGGAAACTCCTTTTAGATCACTTCAATCTCCTCTGTCTAAAATGCCCTCCTAATTTGTACCTTTTTAGTTCCTATCCATCTTTTAGGGCTTAACAAAATGCCATTTTTTTCATAAGCCCCTTTCCTAATTGTCTCCAGCTGGAAAGAATTCTCCCTTATCTGAATTCTAACAGCATTTTGTTTATACCTTTCACTGCACTTTCCTTTTCCTTCCTTCCTTCCTCATTTTTTCAATATGACTGATGCCATAATTTCTTTTGTATAACTATATATATTTGTAATGGACTTTTGTTTTTCTTGTTTTCTCAATGGTAGTGGAGGGTAGAGGGGATGGATAATTCAGAACTGAAAATAAAATTTAATTAAAAAAAAAAAACTAGCTGCCTCCTCTTCCATATGGGAAGCCCAACAATTCTAATTCTATATCTCTAGTCAACTTGTCAAAGATGAGCAGGAATAACTGTAAGCCTTAAATTACTGTATGATGGCTAAATTAATTATAGTTTAAAGAATGATACATAAGGATAAAACATAATAAATAGTCTTCCTTTCAGATAACCTATTTATGCACCTGTTCATTTCAAAGAGTCAGGAAACAGAATACCTGCAATGAACAATGATAGGCTCTTCTTTGCCAGCTCTCTTATTTCGCACATGACAGACAAAATCAAGAAAGTCACTTGAATCATCAGGAACTCCATGGTCAGGCCAGGCTATGTACTGAATCTGGGTGAGTTGACGACTCTCATTTTTCTAATTATAAAAACAGAAATTGTGAGCTTATGATTTAGGAATGATATTCAAATATAAAAGAGTTCTTGCACCTTAATTTTGAAAGTAAAGCAAATCCGAGCCAACAAAAATTATAACATGCAGCAATGAAGTTTTAAAAACAGGTTTTCCTGTTTGCTATGAAAAAATTAATGTCACAGAAATAGTACCTATTACTTTGTTTTTAATAATCTAACGTTGATGCATATAAAATTAATACCTATCCCCATTTGAAAATTCTGGTTCTGTTGAAAGCACTGATCTTTATGACAGTTAAGTGTAATAATAATATTAAATAGCTAGCATTTATGTAGCACCTGCTATGTGCAAGGCACTGTGGTAAATGCTTTACAAATCTTGTTTGAGTCTCACAACTCTGGGAGATAGATACTATTATTATCCTCAATTCACAGTTGAGAAAACTGAGGCAGCAGAGGTCAAGTGACTTAAGATCATATATCAAATGCAGGTAAAACTGCATTTGGTTTTGACTTAACATAAAAAGTTTTCATTACAATTTCTTAAAAAAAAGGGGGGGGCAGCTAGGTGGCACAGTAGATGGAGCACCAGCCCTGGTGTCAGGCGGACCTGAGTTCAAATCCGACCTCAGACACATAACACTCACTAACTGTGTGACTCTGGGCAGTCACTTAAACTCAATTGCCTCACCAAAATAAATAAATAAATAAAACCCCCCCAAAACAAACAAACAAACAAAAAACCATCAAAGAAGTGCAACAAATGTCGAATAAACATCTTATGTTGCCCTTGGAGGAAAAGGAAAGATTTTGCATTTATTAATTTTATGGTATTCCATAAAATGATGAAATTTTAGGTCTTAGTTCAAGATATAGTGTATTCTGTATATCTAGATTCTTCTTTGGTGGAATAGTGGAGGGAAGAAATACTGAAAAACAGGAAGATGTGATTATCCATTTGGGTCTCTGTAAAGGTGATGAAAAACAAGATTGTCTAAAAGTCACTGAAAGAGGTGATTCCTGGACAGAATTGATTAAAAAAAAAAACATTCTGAGGGAAAATGCTTGCGATTATGTAACTTTAAGTTCCTCATTCAAATCTTTGGGAATTTTAAACTAGGATTCTTTTACTACTGTGGAATCTTAAAAGTTCACAAGATACTCCAAATATGGAAACACCTCACACATGAGGGTAACTTCACAATTTAGAAGATGGCTTCAAATTCAGAAACAAGAGGGGAACAAAGGTTATGTATTGTGTGATAAGGGTAAATCGTCACAAAGCTGAAGCACTAAAGATCATAAACTCTGTATTTATGTGAGTGCCTTGCAGATTCTTACTTGGGCTCAGCATTGCTATCAGACCAATCATGACCTAGGAAAAAAAAAAGGTTGGTGTGCTCTTTTACAGGGCAAAATATAGTTTCTTTACTTTCCCACTGGATGCCTCAACCAGTGGTATCAAACACAAATAGAAAGCATTAAATTCAAGTGGAAATGGGGTCACTCTGTAATGGGTGCATATTGATTTAGAAAATCACATATTAGCATTATCCATGTTCTACTGTATTTTTATTTATTTTATTAAGTATTTCCCAACTGTGTTTTAATTTGGTTCCAGATACATTCATTCTGATGCCTCTGGCCTAGATCATCAACTCTTTGCCCTAGAGCAGGATTTCTTAGCCTGTGGTGTCTGAATCTGCTTTTAAAAATACTTTCATAACTGTACTTCAATTACAACTGGTTTCCTTCTGTAATGTTATGGATTTATTTTAAGCATTTAGAAACCACTATTCTGAGAAGAGGACCACAGGTTTCACCAGACTCCCCAGGGGACCTAGAGACAAAGAAGATTGAGAATCTGTTAGAGGATCAGTTCCTAAACAGTTTCCATTTCTAAAACTGGTGGTATCCAAGTAGCACACAGAGAAAGGCAGGCAGTGGCTACAAACACAGCACGTCTTTTTAAACTTATTCAACAATCTCCATTCAGCTACACAAAGTGAGATATTTTACTACATAACTGAGACCTGTTTTTAAGAGACACAAAGTAATCAATAACATGGTTATGCACACAGCTCAATGTATTTTGTTTTTTGGGGTTTTTTTTTTTGGCATTTAAGTCTAGAGCTAGATGGAGCCTTTTTTTTAAAACACAATTGACACTGGATACAATGCTCCTCTCACCTCTAAGTTACATAGTGTCATGTTTCTGAAGACATAGGCAGAATTTCCTTCTTCGGAATGGCAGGTGACCTGGAAATTCCCATACAATGAACTTTCTGTGAGTTCTGGCCAATACTGATGACACTTCACCTAAGGTAAAAAAAATTCCCAAAGGAATTGTGTTTGTATTTATATTCATAAATGCTATATCTGACCCAGAGCCCCTCTTGAACATGTTTATTTACAGAACACTAACAGATGAAAAAAGGGCTTTACATATCTCCCTCTGATACTACCTAGGTTGCCTTGAGCAAGTCACTTCCCCTCCCTGGGCCTCAGTTTTCTCATTTATAAAATGAGGGGGTGGACTCGATGGCCTTGGTGGTCCCTTTAGCTCTACATCTATAAGTCAAGTATCTCCTTTCATTTTCGTAACAGACGTATGAGGTAAATTCATGTGAAAAAACCGGGACTGAGAAATAATAGTAATTCATTATTGTTATTATTGATAGCATTTATATAGCACTTTAAGGTGCTTTACATGTATTACCTCATCTGGTCTGTCCTCTGAATTTCATTCTAGTGCTCTTCCCTTTATAACATGCTGCCTAGAACTAAAGCATCTACAGCCTTTCCGGATGCAGTGAGAAAAGCATTTGTAAATTAGAAGAACATATGTAAACATGCAGTTACAAAGAACTGAAGATTAATTAGAGACCATTTTTTAAAAGAACAGTCAAGCTGAAGAAAATCTACAGGAATGCAAAAGCAAAGTTTTCACCAAGCATCCATCGTGAACAAAGTTTAAGGCACTATATAGTCTTCAAAAAAAAAAAGATAACATGTAATTGTGCAACAAAAATCCTGTCTACATTTTCCTGTCTCAATGCCTTTGGCTTACACCATCCCTGTGCTGAAAATGCTCTTCTTCCTCTCCACAGTTTATCCAAACACTATCCATTCTTCAAAACCCATTTCAAGCCAAACCTGCTCCATGAAGTCTCCTCCAACTACTCAGGCCCAGAGCAGTCACTCCATTTTTAGCTTCTACTATACTTATTTCAACTATCACACTTTGTCATTTAATTCTTCATGTTAGTCTTTTCTTTCCAATTATATCAAAAGCTCTTTCAGGGATCATAAATAAAATCATAGGTTTAGAGCTGGAAAAGACCTCAGGTCATTGAATCCAATAGTCTCATTTTAAAAGTGAGGATATTGAGGCTCAAGACATTAAGTGACTTACCCAGAATTCCCCACACCTGGTGTCTGAAGTGGGATTTGAACCCAGGTCTTTCTGACTTCAAGTCCAGTGCTCTATCTACTATTTCTTGCTTTTCTCACGAATTTGATTAAATAATAATAACAACAGCTAAAATCTGTATAGTTTTTTAAAGTTTGCACAGCACTTTATATACATTATTTTATCCTAACAACAACCTTGTGATATAGGTGCTACTACTATCCCCATTTTGCATTTGAGGAAATCAAGGCTGCAACTGGGTTAAACAACTGTCCAGTAAATGTCTGAGGCAAGATTTGAATTCAGATTGTCCTCTTAACTCCAAGTCTGGCATGCTCCCCACAGTGCCACCAAACTGCCATCACAAAACAGGCCTTCACATCCTTCCTACCAGTCCAATGATAGCAGCTAAAACTATTATTAAATGTGTGGTCCTTGGGGGTAGGAACTGATTTTTGTCTTTGTGTCCCCAGTATCTGGCACTTAAGTGCTTAATGACTGTTGACTGTATATTCAGCATGGACAGGATCATCTTCCCAATGGGCCTTCATCTCCTGGCTTTACTGGCACTGGGCATATTAATACTTAATAGTTACTCACTGATTGACTGAAATCCCGATGAAAACCTTAACCAAGACTACAGATTAAAAATATTATTTGATTGTTTTGGTTATAGAAAAGTTCTCCACCTAGTAGCACATAGGATCCAAGCTCTGACTTACTCTTCCTCGTTCCACTTGTGTTGTCAACATTACAACCATGGAGGAACCTTGCTCCCAAGTCATCCGCCAAAAATCTGTACAAGTGTTTGGTAATGGCCCCTGACAAGCAATGTACTGATTTATGATGCTGGAAGAAGGGATTTCCATCTAAAAGGAAAAGAACACAGGCAGCATAATTATACTATTTAATTATCATCCTCCTTGGTCAACTAAGTATATGAATCATAGAGTAAATCTTTGCTGGATAATTTAGATTAAATTATAAAATCAGATTAGAATGAAAAAGGGCTTTAAGGATGAAAAAGACATGACTGACAGCATAAATTTTCAGGACTGTTTCTGTTTGATTATACATCTCTGTTGTAAGACAAATTTCAATGGAAAGGCACATGTACGCTAAGGAAAGAAAATGGTAACAAGTCCTAATGTCTTAATTCTAGGAACAATAGAGATACTTTAAATACATAGTTTCTGACATAAAATTCCTAGCTAATCAGTAGTCATTGTTTTGTTATTGCCAGATATATGAAAATAATTTAAATCAATAATTTATTAATTATAACATGCAGAAGAGTGAATCTTATTAACACATTTCTGATGATAGTACAACAAATCTTTTTTATCCACGTCTAATTTTATCAGGAGAGGAAGTTTCTGGTAATGCTGATCATCATAACATCTATTTGTGTCTCCTTTAGAGAAATCAGGAAGCCAGCCTTTATTTATTTCAACAACACAGATTTGTGTAGCCATTACCAAACATTTATTAAGCAATTATCATGTGCCAAGTATAGGGGATACAAAGACAAAAGTGAGATAGTCTCAAGGAGTTGACACTCTATCAGAGAGCCGGAAAGAAACAATATTTCTCTGGTTTTTTGTTTGTATTTTGCTAGGCAATGGGGTTAAGGGACCTGCTCAGGGTCACACAGCTAGTAAGTGTCAAATGTCTGAGACTAGATTTGAACTCAGATCCCCGACTCCAGGGCCAGTGCTCTATCCACTGTACCACCTAGCTGCCCCGAGAGACACAACATGAACACAAGGAAACGCAAAGTAATTCTGGAGGGAGGGAAGGAGGGTGCTAGCAACTGGGGGATTATGATATGTCTAGTTTAAGACATGATACTTGTTACTAAACCTTAAAAGAGGTTAGAGATTACAAAAGGACAAGGTTAGGAGAAAATATATTCCAGGCATGAAGGATAGCCTCAGATGAGGAGATGGAAGATAGAATATTGTGTATGGGGAAAAGAAAGTAGGCTGGTCAGGCTGGAATGTTGAATTCACGAAGAAAAGTCATATGCAAGAAACCTGGAGAGGTAGTCTGAAATAGATTTTAAAATGCTAAACAAAAAAGTTTTAACTTTATCTTACAAATAAGTGGGAACCACTGGAACTTCTGAAGCCATGGAGTGACAAGTTTATGTTTTAGGAATCAAATATCAATTTGGCAGCTGTGTGGAAGATGTACAGAGGGAGACAGACTTGAGGCAGGGATACCAATTAAGAAGACTACCGTAATAGTCCTGGCAGGACATGATTAAGACTTCATCTGCATTGAAGGCTCCTCTCCTGACTCTCTGGACTTTTTCCACCATGCCATAGAAGCCTTCTCATTCTGGAAGATCCCTGTAACCATGCAGCCTCCTCACCTTAGAACATCTTGCTGCTCTTGCATCTGCTTTCTCCCACTGGTAAGTTCCTCCAGGAAACTCCCAGGATTGAGGAAAGGGCCTGGGCCAGTTATTCACTTCTTTCCTAGCTATTTCTGGCTCTCCAGATTTCTCCACCACACCCTACATTAGTGCCGTGCCCCTTCCCCCTCTTTCCAGCTGTTTTATAAGTTGTTTCCCCTTAGAAAATAAGTTCCTGAAGGGCAGGGGCTATACTTTTATTTGAATTTGTATTCCCAGCACTTAGCAGCGTCAGACACATAGCAATTGCTTAATAAATGTTTCTTGATTTGAAGCAGGGTGTGGTCACATGGGAGGAGAGAAGGGGATTGATGTAACATGTGATGGAGGCAGAATTGATTTGGGAACTAAATGTATATGGGGTTTGCAGGAGGAAGAAGAGTTGAGGATGACGCAAAGGTTTCAAACCTTAGTGACTACAGTGGTACATACATAGAAATGGGGAAGTTTAGACGACATTTTAGACACGTTGAATTCAATATGCCTGTAAGACAGGCAGTTGCTCTAGGACAGTTATTTATTGTCCTAGTTATATGTAAGACTGTTATGGCTTTAGAACAGTTTTATAGAGAGCCAATTGCTTACTTCTTTGAGATAAGTAATCATTTATGACTAGTGTAAAGTAAATAATTTTATTGTATGCTAATACAGACTGTGTAGTTTGTTGGGAGAATATATCTTGAGGTTCAAGAACTTCGACGCCTATTTATTTATTTACATGCATGAGGCAGTTTTAGAGTCAGGTAAAAATACTGTTTTAAGCCTCCATTAAGTATGGGTGGGAAATGAAGAACATTTAAGGACTTACGATTAAAAAAAAAAACAACTCACCAAAAAAAAAAACCCCAACAAAACCCTTAAGCTAAGTGATAGTTCTAACAAAAAGATTTTCTGTTGAGAAACTTAAAAATGCCCTAACCATTCCAAACACTACTAGTGTAATAAAAAATTAAACCCACATTTATGTAATTTGCATTGATGTAGTCATCATTATCCTTTAAAATGACCCGTGTAGCATCATCTGAAAAAAAGAGTATTAAAACAATGTTATTTGGCAACCATAAATCAGAAAGACCAAAATATTAACACATTAATTTAAAAAATATACTCACAAGGCGAAATGTCTCTGTATCTATTTTTGGAAATATTTTGAGGTAATTTGGCACAAGACATTGTCATTCCAGGCTTTTTCCTATAGAGTTGCTGTAAGAGAACAAGTCACACAGTTCTGGTTACACTACTGGATCCACGTTAAGTACACAGACAACATCTATAAACGTACATAAGTAACTTCAAGACCATCACTACAACAAGAAGCAATTAACTCAATTATTGTTTACACAATCCATGTGAAAATCTGTGATACTCTTCTTGGTAACTTACCTAAGATACTACTAACAAAATGAAGTATTTCAACTATTTCTTCTTTGTCATAAAATTGTTGCCACTACATTTGGAACTGGCTCTGTCACTTAGTAAATGAAACACCTTGGTATTTCTTTTCATTTTCCTAATCCTCATTTGCCAACTTTATATTTTGTAAAAGTATTTGGATCAATAACCTTAAAGTTGTAGGGACTAAAGTGTTTGTAAACCATAAAGTACTATATAAATGTGAATACATAAAAAAGAGAAAACTTCAACTCAGGAGTGAAAGTAAATTTTTAAAAAAATCCTAAAAACCCACTGGAAAATAAATTTGCAAATTGGCAAAGATGATGAACTGTGTAAAAATTCAATACTGGTGGGACTCTGGGGGAAAGAAGGCAAGCTAATTACTCTTTAGGTCTCTGTGAAATGGCCCAACTTCTTTGGAAAAGAATATGGAATTTTACAAGTTATAGAGTTGACTTATTAATCTCATTAGAGAGCAAGAAAATAATATTTACAGTTGCACTAATCATAGCAGTAAAAAAAATGAGAAACAAATTATGTGCCCAATTATTAGAGATGGGTCAAATAAATTATAGTACATGAATGTAATAGAATATAATTTTGCCATCAAGAACAGGAAAAATTGGAAGAAAGATAGGAAGACATATATAATAATAATTATAGTTAACTATAGAATTTGAAAATTTCCAAAGAATTTTAAATATGTTCTAATTTGAGCCTCACAACAGCTCAGTGAGGTAGTTTCTATAGGCATTAATATGATTTTAGGGATAAGGAATCTAAGACTCAGTGGGGAAGTAACTTGTTCATGGTCACAAAAGTTTCAGAGATGGGATTTGAACCGAGGTTTTCCTAAGTCCAGAAATATAGAATCTATGTTATGCTGCCTCTGTACTGATGCAAGATGAAGAAAGCAGATTCAAAAGAAAAATGTGCACCAACTACAGATACATAAATGAAGATAACATTAAACAATAATGCAAAGTCACAGGTGAATACCATGGATGATGTTGGGACTACCTTATTAAAATTAAAGTACAGTTTTCCTTTTAAAAAAAAACAACAAAAGGATAAATTACAAAAGTATATGGTAGCATGTATTATTAATTATGATTACTCTGTGTTGTGCTGCTCTGTTTTTGAAAAAAAATCTGTTTTGGTTTTGTTTGTATGTTTATGTTTGTGCAATATTAAAATATTTATCAATTGAAAAAGAAGAAAAAAATGAAAAAAGGTATACTAATTAGGTAAAATTTTAATCTCCTAAATTTGACTTATTTTAATTTCTGAGGTGTGTTTTTGTTATTAGGGCTGATTTCTAAGCTAACAGGATATAGAATTTTCCCTGCAAATAGTCATGTTTATTGCTTTATTTCTCATTTAAACTCTTCAACAAGCAACTGTCCACTAGTTACTGCCAGCTGTAGAAATAGGATTGCATATTGATTTGCATATTGAGCTCTATTCTTGTTTCTTGTAGGGATTCTTAAAATAGTTCATTTAAAACTCTTTTTGGTCTGTCTTCTTTATTTTTGAAAAGGATAAACACGTCATATAGTATTTTAGTTGAAGCTAAGTAGTTGACTTTGTTTTGGTTACATTTTTACTTGGGAAAAGTGATTTTTAAATTAAAAAAAAAAACCCTATAACTTTGGGTGTACAAAATTTATCAAGATCAGTTTAAAATGCATAAAAATTCATTCATTGTTCTCAACGTTGAGATAGTGGTTCCTTAGAGACTTTGTTGGCAAATTAATAGTTTATGGATATTAAAGTCATCAAAAACAATGAAATTAAGACTGGAAAACTACTGAAGATTTTATGAAATGAAAGGCAAAATCTTTTCTAAAAAAAACCAAGTACTTTGTGACTTACATCAAACTGTGTAAGGACTGTTCCACTGTCAAGACCCTCAGCAAGCTGGATCATCGATTCCCTCAAGGCATTATCATTTTGATGGACACCATCTAGTGGTGATTTCTCAGGGATATACTGGAAGTCTGGTTCATTCTCAAATTTTTCTTCTACTACATCATATACAGCTGTAAAGGAAAATGGAAATTATTAGTGTCTTTCACTTGTTGGACATGTTCCTTGGACAAACAGATTAAAGAAAGATTAATTTAAGAAGAAATATATAAAATTTGGCATCTGTTACCAGTATAGGAGAAATGCTTCCATTATGCTAAGTAAAACCCTTATACCTATGGCATAAGATCATTATTAAGAATTAAAGTCTACTCTAATACAATGTATTTCAAAGGGGTGAAGATTGAGAATTTCTTTAGCCTGTGTTGGCTGAAGATCAATAGCCTCATTGGCAATCAGCATTTTGCACAAAATCGAGGAGGAACTTCTGATGGGAGGGCAGGGTTTGAGCATGGATGGTATTCTGACAGCTAATAACCCAGGAGGAACAGCTTTGAGTCACCTCTAAAGTTGCAGACAGGCTGCTTTTTGAAAAGGTGTCAAGGCTCCTCACCCACAGATTCTTGTGTTTAAGCACAGACAAAAGACAAAAGCAACCTCTTCTGAAATAGCTGCCCTGGTCCCAAATGGAGAGGAATGAAGATATTAGGATAGGATTTTGGCAGACTTTGAGGACCAGAAGAAAGTAAGATTATTACCAGACTGTGACAAAATAGGAGGAAACAGATAGGGTCTGGACCTATGATTTCACTGATATCCTATGATTCCTTATGAGGAAATTCCCTCTGGCAATGCAGGTACAATCTTTTCTGGAATTTATAATCTTAGAGAGTTGCCTATAACACTGATGGTTTATAAGTGATTTGCCCAGAGTCATTAAGTCAATGTACGTCAGAGGTGGGATTTGAACCTGGTGTTTCCTGGTCCTGAGGTTAGTTCTGTATCCACTATGGCATGATGACTGTAACACTTAACCAAACACAACATTAAGCTACAGAGCACAATTTTCCAACTAGAACCAAAGCTAATTACTAAGACTATACAAAACTAGCACCATAGAGAAGAATATACAAACTACAGAGCATAGGGACAGGAGAAGGAAGAAGCGTTAACATCACAGTATCTTAAAAGACAAGAGAAACGTCCAATCTGACAGCTGGAAAATCTTTTTGTATACAACCTGAAACTGCTATAAAAAACTCAAGCTCTGCTAAAAAGGGGTCTGAGGCCCTAATCTTGTCTAGGTTCCAACCCTTCTCAGATATCAATGAAGCCTACTGAGGACAAAAATAACAACTAACCTTTGCTCAATATGCCCCGGACTCTTTTTAAAAAAGTTATCTCTTATTTTTACATCACCTCTTTTGTCTTTTATTGCTTGTTTAGTCACTTAGGCAGAATAGCAAACTGGGAGAGAGGAAGACACCTGGATTATTGGACCGATTCTATTTAGTGAACTGTTATGAGGGGAACTGAGAAATCTAGTTCCAGATCTTTGTTCTTTAGTTCCCTGTCTCACTAATCTCGGATGATTAAAGATAATATTGACCAAATATTTTGTAATAGCATCTTCAGAAGCATCAGCAGCATGAATAAGGGTAAGTGGTTGACAGTAAGTATGGTATAATGGGAAGAATATTGAATTTGAAGTCAAAGCACTTGTGTTGAAAACCTAACTAGCCTACTTACTACTTACCTGTATAATCTTGACAAATCATTTAAGCTCTTTTTAAACCAAATAAAGAGATTGGATTAGATATTATTAAAGTTCATTCTGGTTTCAAATGCTGCAAACTTAAAAAGTACATCTATAAAGAGTCCATATGTTTTATGAATCTTAATCTTCCTACACTGGGATTAGAAGAAAAGTATGATTTTAACAGTTGTAAGCATTATGTTCTAAAATCACAAAAGCATGGATAATTCAGGTGTATAATTACAGTGATTTGCCACATAGACATAAAGTATGAGTTAAGTACGCTTTAAACCTACTGACACAGGTAGTTGAGACATTAGTTACCATTTAAAGATTAATACTGAACTAACTGCTGTGTATGTCCCAGTGTATACAACCATTCCTCCTGCATGTCTCCACTATAACAGAAGAAAGAAAACCAACAATTCCCAGATCACGTAAGTCAAAATTCCCTTTTGCCTTCATAGTCCTTTGTATGCTAGAAAAGTGACTCTCTGAACTAGCAGGTGTTATCCTTGACTTGCCCCTCTCTCTGACCCTCTTCCTCCTCCATATGTTGCCAAGTCCTGTTGATTTTTCCTTTGTAACATCTTTCCTCTGACACTGCCACTACCCTGGTGCAGGTTCTTACCACCTCAAGCCTGGATACTACGAAAACCTGCTGGTGGTCTCTCTGTCTCAAATCTTTTTCCACTCCAGTCCAATCCTCTATTCAGCTGGCAAACTAATCTTCCCGTAGTGCAGATCTGACCATACTACACTTCTATTTGATAAACTTCAGTGCCTCCCTGACACCTCCAGGATCAAATATGTAATCCTGTTTGGCATTCCAAGCTCTTCACAATCTGATCCTCTCTTACCTTTCTAATCTTCTTACATCTCACTCCCCTCCCTATACTCTATGATCCAGTAACACTGGACCTCTTTCTGTTCCTCATGTAAAACACTATCTCCAGCTGCCAGGAATTTTTACTGGCTGTTGCCCATGCCTGGAATATTCTCTCTTCCTAATCTCTGTCTCCTGGCTTCCCTGTCTTCCTTCAAGACCCAGCTAAAATCTCACCATTCTACAAGCCTTTCTCTCTTCTAATGTCAGTGCCTTCCCTCAATTAATTTTCAGTTTATCTTTTATATAGTTTGTCTGCCCACAGTTGTTTTTCATGTTGCCTCTCCCATTAGATTCTGAACTGTTTAAGGGCAGCGACTTGTCTTTTCTCTTTCTTTGTATGCTCAGTGCTTAGAACAGTGCCTGGCACATAGTAAGCACTTAATAAATGCTTACTGACTGGCTGATCATCCATCTACTCTACTGCTGTACCCCTGGCACCCAGAGCTTTGCTATAGCCCTTCCTCATGTGACCGCCAGTCTTTGCAATCCACACACTGAGCCCTAAGGATCAGCCCTGTGGTTCCCTCTCTGTCTAGGCGATGTTTCCCGTATAAGAATGTAGGTGCACCGAATGCAGAAATGGTCTCACTTTGCCATCTGTATCCCTAGCTACTGGAAAAAATAAGCCCTTAATAACTGTCTGTCTCTCTTCTTTCTTCCCCTCCTTGGCACTTCATTCAAATAAAAACAATAGGAAAATGACTGACATTTTATTTTAAAGCAATAGGACAGGTGAAGAGGAATGCAGGAGTCGGGTAGCATTATCTATTAAGAGGACATACTCCTGTGAGGAAATCTAGGCATCTTAGGGAGAAATAAAAGTGATAAATCAGTCACCTGGATGAAAGACAAAGAAATGAGTTTGGTAAACAGCTAGAGCACAAGCCTTGCATAGAGGCTGATATAATAATTACAATTTTTCAATTATCTCACTAAAACTCTCTTTCAAAGAAAAGAAGCTAATAATTTCTTGACTTGCTTTAATGATAATTTCATCTTTCAAAAAGGTAAAGGATCTGATAAGGGGACTTCTATTCTGGATGTAATTCTCAATCAATAGAGAATAACTATCTGCTGAGGTGGAAAAAATGATGAGATTGCTGGGAAAAAGTGACTGTTTGAACCAGGACAATAATTTATGCAATAACAACATCATTGTAAATACAATTTTCAAAGTCTTAAGAATCCTAACAATGCAAGACCAAGAACAATTTCAAATGAAGCATGCTATCTACTTCCCAAAAGAAGAATGATGGATTCAACAAGAAGATCTATATTTTTGGACAAAATATGGAAATTTGTTTTACTTGACTAAACATACTTGTAAAAAATTTTATTCTGAATTTAGTAAATGAAATAAAATGGGCATTTCCACATACACAGAAGAACAGAAAAAGGAGACTGCATACAAAACTACAGATGTCTATTATATATAGCTTGTTTAAAAATATATATAATAAAATTCAACCTCTAATTTTCAAAAGTGTCCTGTTTGTGCTTCTTTCTGGCCTTCTTTCTATTCTCATCTCTGCATTAAAAAAAATTCCTTAAAGACACTAACTTCTTTCTTTCTTCTCTATGCCACCCTTCCGCAATTACAAACCTCTCCCCTCTAGTGGGGAAGAAAAAGGGACAACCAAGTCCTAGAAACAAATATACTATGTATATTTGTTACAAAGATTTTGTTTTTATTTTTCTCAATTCAGAGAAAGTTTTTCTCCATTTTTCTCAATTTAGGAGTGGGGAGGGAAAAGAAAGCTGGAGATAAGACTGTTCTTTCTCCACCCTACCCCCCTCAAAAAAATAGAAAAAAAAAGAGGATCATTGAAACTTTTTCTTTTTTTTAAATTCACAAAAGAGAAAGTCAAGAGGAATTATAGACAAGCAGGGCAGCTTTGAAAGTAATGTGTTGAATTTATTACATACTTAACATATAAGAAAAGCAAGCTATTCACAATAGAACATTTTCTGTGTCATGGACCCTTTGACAGCCTGGTAAAGCCTAGTTACTATTGAGGTTTGTTGTCTACATTAAGGAAATGCTAAATTTCCATTAGAGGTTAGTGAAAGTAAAGATGTAACTTTTTTCCCATCTGAATCCATGCATCCCCTTAAAAATCTATCTAATGATCTGTCCTTGTTATAGAGACTTTTGGTTTCATTACCAACCTCTTTTTTCTGTTCTACCATGTATATGAAGTGCCCATTTTATTTTTAAAATTGTTTTATTTATTTAAATTTAATTTATTTTTAGTTTTCACTATTCACTTCCACAAGATTCTGAGTTCCAAATTTTTCCCCCATCCCTCCCCTACCCCCACCCCATGATGGCCTGCATTCTGATTACCTCTTTACCCAATCTGTTCTCCTTTCTATTCCCGCCCCCACCTCTTATCCCCTTTCCCTTCTATTTTCCTGTAGGGTAAGAGATTTCTAACCCCTTTGTCTGTGTATCTTATTTCCAGTTGCATGCAGAAACAATTTCTAACATTCATTTCTAAAACTTTGAGTTCCAAATTCTCTCCCTT